AAAAAAGCATAAGGTCTATAATAATTATGACACTCCTGCATATATAACCTTGACGTCTACTCTCCTGCCAACTCTACATCTAGGCGGAAAGCGATGTGGGCGCATTTGTTTGAACAAAACGTCGACTTAATGGATGTGTTTACAGTTTTATTTTTTAGCGGCCGTTTTCAGATTGAGCCGAAGTGCGAATTTGATTCGTAGCCAAAAATATGCCATTGATTTCGTTTTGGAGAACTATAGGGTCTATACATACTTATTTATATAGTTATAGAATATACACTTATATATATATATATTATATAATATATATATATATATATATATAATATATATATATATATTATAGTAATAGTCGTTATGTAATATGGTCTATACAGTGCCTCCCGCGACGGGGACATGCGCGCGGCCCGACGCGCTCGTCAACTGACGTAGCTCATTGAGCGTGATTGACAGGCATATAAAAATAACTCGCTGGCTTTTAACACTGTGATTTAGAAGGGTAATAGAAAGCGACCCGCTGCGCTATACACACGTATCAGCATTGCTGGAAACGCCGGGTTGTTGTCTCCCGAGCCCGGCAAAGACTGCGACGAAGGTGTGATGACCGACATGATATGATGATGAATGATGATGAATGAGATGATCGATGATGTGAATGATGATGATTTAATCCGACGACGTACGAAAACAACACGGAGCACGATGACGACGACGACGCGACGACGAACGATCGACGACGCGACCGACGACCGGGACGACGACGTACCGACTGACACATGATGACAAGTGATGGAATTGATGATGATGCATGATGATGATGATCGATGAGTGAGATGATGATGACTGATGATGATGATAATGACAACGATTACGAATGATGACTGTTTTTGTCAATTGTCCGTTGTCGTTGGCAACGATAAGACGACGACGGACAGAAAGTTGAATGCTGACCGATTCAGTGGGCAAGCAGTGATGCACCCAAATGCTATGGCAATGTCCATAACAATATTATTGGCAGTGCCTGTAGTTTAGCGCATGTGTGTTGCTAGTATATATTTATGGTCCATCGCGACGTCGTCTAGCGTGTGTCCAGTATTTATTGAATTTTAGTAGCAGTCGCAGGTAGCAGTACAGCAGCATAGCAGCAGCAGTCGTAGTAGTAGCCAGCATCGCAGTAGCAGTACGGCAGTACAGTAGCAAAGCATAGCTGCAGTAGCAGTAGTACAGTATAGCAGTAGCAGCAGTAGCCAGCAGTCAGCACAGGCAGTAGTAGCAGGCAGCAGCAGCAGATCAGCGAGTACGCAGCCGCACAGGGCCGCCGCAGCAGCAGCCGCTCCGCACCAGCAGTCGTTGTATAGCAAAGTAACAGCAGCAGCAGAGCAGTAGTACAGTACGCAGTAGCGTAGCAGTAAGCAGGTCATACAGTACAGTACAACAAAGTGGAAAGGCAGAATAGCGAGTCAGCAAGCCAGTACATGGATTAGTGATAAATGCATGTGTTTCATCATCCATATACGTGGTAGGCTACCCAGCAACTACCAAAATATTAGGAGTAGTAATAGCAGCAGCCGGTACGTAGTAATTAATATATATAGTAGTAGGCAGCAGCCGTCATCAGCAGTGAGTACAGCACCAGTAGGCACATGCACCATCATCATCAACAGTAGCTTCGCCATCAGCACCAGCAGCCCCTCAGCCCACGCGTGAGCGAGCGATCTACTTATTAGCAACCACTATCATTCCAGACGACAGTAACGCCGAGATCACGCTCGCACACCGCGCCGGCGACGCGAGCGCGCACCCCCAGGCCCCAGTTAGCGATGTAAAAATAACGCTCGACCGACTGAGGCCGCGACGGCATTAAATGCTGATTGTGTTTAGCATGCTGTTGGTTAGTTATCCGGCGATTTTAGATGCTTCAAACGTGCTCTAACAAAGCGTATCAGAGGGTAATCAGACGAAATATCTGTACGCACGGGTAGACCATGCCAATCGCATTGATGGGTTTATAACACTCACGGTCAATGTTCACGATATACAAATTTCTTTGTAGCTTTAAACTGGCAGTCCGATAATCTATTAGGGCCTGCCAGTTCACCAGATGTAAGTAATTGATGTAAGTAATAAATTAGTTAGAAAGGTTATGAGTAACTAATGGGCTTACAACGTGCTACTGTATCAGTAGTACCGATGAACTACCAGTCTAAAAAAAATTAAATACTAAACTAGTATTCAAGAGTTTACTCACTCATACTAGGCAGTGACATAAGTAACCGGAGAAACTTGAGGTACTAACACAAACACAAACAAAACGTTACGGTTAAGTAGATAAAAGAGTAGGAAAAATAAATTGTTCTAGTAAAAAAGAACATTGTCGTAGTCAGATAGAGGCTGTACATCGTACTCAAAGGTGCCTCCAAGATACGCTATCCTCCGCGATCTAAATTTTCAAAATATCGGTGGAGAACCCCCAGACCTCCCTAACCTATTTATGTGCCGCTCTTGAAAATGCGTGGATCCGCACTGGCCCCTCCCTTAGCCATTTACTCAACCTCGGCCCTGCTACCCCTAACCTTAACGCCACGCTAACCCCAACCCTAAATCCCTAAACACTGAACCATAATCTTGACTCTAACCCTAACCCAACCCTAATCTACTTTTACTCTAACTCATAACCCTAATACAGCTCAACAGTAACACATACGAGAGCAAACATTAACCTCCCCTTACAGCTATACATGTACCAGCTTCACATGTAACCAGCTATGTACATGTATAGCACTAATTTAGGCTATACAGTACAGCTATTACATGAGCTAGCATTACATGTAGCATGTCTACTACATGTACCAGCTATTCACATTACATCTATACATATAGCTATTACATGTATGCTATACTTACACGAGCTATTACATGTACAGGCTATTACATGTATAGCTAATTACTGTACAGCTATACATGTAGCAGCTATTTACATGTACAGCAAAGATACGATGGCGTTAATTCTGGCCTCAGCAGACGTCGTCTCGCAGCTGTCACACATTCCTGCAGTGAACGCACGGTCTTGATAGTCCATGCATGAATACCATTATGAACGGATAATTAATGTAATTTGATTGCCTAATTAATGGATATGATGAAACTGTTACAGACGGGAAATTCCCATAGCGAAGAGGCGTGGCCTTCATGCCGCCAGCGATCGGCTTCCAAATGCAAATATACCAAATTGCGGCCAATGTACGCACAAATTATAGTGCAAATTACCAATGGGCTACGTGTTAGGATTGAGATACGGATTCGTGCTACCTCAGTATCTGAGGGATCGAGTTAGAGGTTTAAGCGTTATTGGGTTTACTCTTAGGATTTACTGTTGAGTTTATAGGCTGTTGATGCTTACCAAAACCTCCAGGAAACGTGTGTATTCCTTCAGCAAACGTACTCACATCGTGTATTTTAACTTACAAATTCTAGTGCTGTCATTGTGGCCCTCCCATCGCTTGTTATTAATTTTGACCTGATTTAAAAAAATTATCGCGTTTCTATTAATTGTTTACTGATATGTTTCCTACGTATCT